GGGAAATATGTATCCAGTCTGCCACGTTGCGTTGCGTATCTAAATCATGGTGGCACACATCGAGACGAGTGATGTTGTCTCTTCTTTTCTTCCCTCCTGAGGGAAGCGTACCAGTTGATACTCTCTGTGCGAGATATTCGAACAAGTACAATGCATGGATGGATCTCTTGTGGAAAAAAAAATAAAATATGGAATAATGGTACGTGTGACACGTATTTTTTTACATATATATATATCTTTTGGGCGTGAGTTTAGAGTATATGGACTATCGATTTTGGTAAAATTAAATTAATTAAGAGATAAAGTTTAAAAATTATTTTATTATTATAATACACATTGGAATAAATGGATGGATTTATTTTATATTTCAAATTTTTATTTTTAAGAAAATTGAATTGTATATTCTTCGACTTCGACAACAAAATTTTATTTCTCGATCGATAGTCCATTCATATCTAAACAGGAATTAATTTCACTCCTTCCTTTTTAGAATTTTCAGAAACAGTAAAATCCATTATTTCATATTTTCGATTTATTTTTTCATAAAAAATCCATTCACGCTTAATTACAGCCATAAGAAATCGAAAGATCTTATACGTGAAATGGAAAAAAAAAAATTTGGAGACGAATCAGAAAGAAAGAATAAAAGACTAAGTACGAAGATTAGAGAAGAAGAAAAAGAACATTGTTTGAAAGGAATTGATGGAGCAAGGAAACGGAGATAAGGGAGGCAGGAAACGGGCTTGTGAAGGGATGATTTCACGGATTTACAACCGAGCAAGATTGTGTGGCGCGTTTAATACCACCTTTGTCAAGCATTGAGATTAAGGTGTCTCGTGACTGAGATATCCCAACCAGTCGTTGTCACAACATAACGAAGGATCGTGATGCGCCCTTGTTATCCGGGAAAACCCCTTTGGGAAAGGGGTGAATATCAGTCGCTTTATCAGCATGTTTAGTCTGACTGGTGTCAAATTTATGGTAAATTTAATGTGTGGTTAAAAGATACGTATTATTATACTTGATCCTATGATGGAATATTTTAACAACTAGTCATTTGTGATCCTAAATCATCTTTCCTTATTGATACTACGAAAATGGAAATTCAAAATTTCACATCGAATCATTATCATATATTAATCGATTGCTATTGAGAACAAAAGTTATAAAATTCTTACAATGTATAAATTATAAAAAAAAAAAATCTCACAATAAATTAAGAATTAACTAACCAAAGCATCTACAATCGTACGTATCTTCGTATAGATATATAGACAGCAATATCATCGCTTACTATCTAATAACCACAACACAGAGTATCAATTTATCATCGTCATCGATCTTGTTTGTTTCTCTGATAATATAACGTAAACTCGAAAGATGAGAACAATTCAATTTCTCTCGCATACCAGACGCGTTCTCTCTATCGAGGGAAAAATGAATGACTCCCTTCCTCGCTCAATATTTCACTCGACAACGTTTATCGGCATTCGAGGCACGATCGTAAGCGCTTGTCATTAGAGTAAGTAAATGCCGATATAATAATTTGTTTCGTGTCTTCAACGTCCCTCGAGAAATCATCCGCTATCACGAAACGCCTCTCTCCTTTTTCTTCCCCGAGTTTTTATCCGCTCGAATCGGAACAGTTGGTTGTCTGTTGGTTTTTTACTTAGTACCAGGCAAAGATTTATGAGGGATATCTCTTTTTCATTCGTTTTTTTTTTTTCCTCCCCTTTCTTCTTTTCTTTTTTTTTTTTTTTTTCCTCCCCTTTCTTCTTTTCTTTTTTTTTTTTTTTTTCCTCCCCTTTCTTCTTTTCTTTTTTTTTTTTTTTTTCCTCCCCTTTCTTCTTTTCTTTTTTTTTTTTTTTTTCAGAAAAAGAATAAGGAGACGTAATGTTAAAAATTTGGAAATTGGAACAAACTTTAACTTAGGAAATATCTTAGCTTTATATAAAATTTCAAAAACATGAATCTCGAACAATTTTAAAATTAAATGATTCTTGCAAAATGATTTATGTTGTTATCGTCACTGCCAGATATTCAGGATCTTTTGAATCCCAAATGTAGAACTTTGAAAACGGATTGAGGACAGATGTTACTCGTATTGAATTCGAAATGACAAAATCTTGCCGGTTCATTTAACTTTCTCCTTTCGTCCAGGATTATTTTACTCTCGTGAACTTTATCATTTATAACATCGATTCGAGTTATCCTAAATCCTCGTAGACTTGATGGAAAGAAATGATTAATTATTCCATCCTTTAGTCTTCTTTAGAATACAATAAAATTGTATTGAACATACAAATTATATAATTTAATAGAATCATATAATCATTGGTTATCTCCACTATTAATTTTTCGTTCAAATAAAGAAATCGAATAAGTGAATATAATCGTTACATTATAGCTTATTTTTCGAATTATTTATAGTCTACTGTGTTTATTTTTATTATTCAAAATAAAACTATCCATTAGCTGCAAATCGAATTGAAAGAATCGAGCTCCATAATTCAAAAAATAAATACATACAAAAATGATTTATATTTTCAGGTACAATTATAAATAATAAATATTTTATTCAATGAAAAAAAAAGAAGGAAAAGAAAAATTATCAAACTATTAGTAAAAAAACTATCATAATTAAATTATTGAAAGAAATACTCTACTGCTTTCACAGTCGTTAATATTTGGACAGGTTGACAATGCATCTTTCTTAACGATGGACAAGCAAACAGCTTCCATCCCCTTCCGAAAACGAAACTCAATGCTTACAAATTCGACGAACGGGGTTTGTTACGACGACAATTAAATTCCGTTTCTTGCCGAGGGATTAGTCAACCTGTCTACGGATTTGTCCACGTTAATTAACGAGTCTGTGCCAGGAAAATCTGGCCTGTTCGCGTGGGAAATCTATTCGTTCTATTTGTCTCGACAAATCACTCGTACCATTTGATTCGAGCGATGAAATGCTCGAAATCATAGTTATTGCGAAGTAATTTTAGAATGATAAAGATGCAACACATGCTGAAAATTATCGAACGAAAGGATATTAAATATTAAGTAATTCAATGTGAAGTTTGATAATAGAGTTCGCGAATTCGTCATAATAAAATTACATATTTTATTGTTGAATTTTATTGTTGTCGTCTCAAAAAATTGTATATTGTACGAAACAATTTTTGGAAAATTTATCCATTTTCGACTATTCATGGCAATAATGACAAAAAAAAAATATTTGTCGTACACACGAATAAAAAAATTTACTCCTGCTATAATAATAATTTTATCATTTACATCTTAAAACCGAATAATTAATTTACATTTATTTATAATCAATAAGCCATTCGTTGCTTTCGATTAAAATAAAAAAAAAATAGTAAAATATATAATTGTAATAAATGTCCCGAAAAAGAAAAGAATTATCGTTGACGATAGTCGATATTACGATATTATGCGTCGGTTAATAAATCGGTCCACGGAGATGAATAATTAAAAGTTTCGAAATGATCGAGGGAATTCGTTGACCGAATTCGTCGAAAGTTGGCCGATTGAGTTTCGATCGACCCAAGAGAATGATCGAAAACGTTGGCCCATGAAACAGAGAGTCCCGGTGAGCCCAAGTTCCGAGTGGAAACTTGAGAGGGAACGAACTCGAACCTCGGGGAAGACCCGCAAGTCGAGATGATACCTTGATTACTTAGGCGGTGGCAAGTATTGATTTCATCGGTCGACGCGATTCACGGGTTTCCGTCCCATTAAATGGCCAGCCTAATAATATCTAAGAAGAAACTATTTCGGAGTATGCTATGATTATTCTTGAACTGAGCCAGGTCACCCAGGATGTACATATTTCTTCTTTATTATTGAAACTGGGAAAGTTAAATCGAGATACGGTATAGATATGGTATAGTTATTTCTGCAATTGGGTTATTTGAATAAAAATAGGAATTTTAAGGAAATTGGATTTAATGATATAAAAATAATTCTTTTTTATATGGACATACAGGTCCATTTTTTATAATTCGATATTGGCACGTGTCTATTCTTGCAATTGGGTTATTTGAATATCGAAAATTTATTGGGAATAAAAATAGGGAATTTCAAAGTGTAAAATCAATAATCCTTGATGTAAAGTCAAATTTATTTTATTGTGAAAATTATTTATTACATATTACATATTACATATATTATCACATTGATAATAAAAATAGATTTATATTAATTTAACAATCTTTTTTGAAAATCTGATTATAATATCTCGTAGGCAAACGAAATAATATAAATATAAATTTATATTGATTCACGTAATTTTTTTATTTTTAATTCAATTGATATTTACAATTTAAAAATCTTCTAAAAATTCTTCACATAAAACTTTCACACTCGTTTTCAATCAATACTTTCCATTACTTAATTATTCAATTTTATTTAAAATTAATTACCATTATAATCAAAATGACACGTGATTTCGTTAATTTCAGGACTGGTGAAGCTGCGAGAACTGGTCAGGTCGCCGAAGTCTCAGGAGATGGAGGTTAACCTGAGGCAGGCAGATCCAGATTCCTACAGGCAGGTTCTATCCGAGATGAAAAGCAAGGAAATACGAAATCTCATCGTGGATACGAGGCCAGAGCATATGCATCATTTTCTACGAATGGTAAATACATATTCATGTATCGATTTCCCGTTTGGCTTCGATAATCCCAACTCGTCTCCCATGTAAATATCTGCCAGATATTCCCAACTTTCTCTGTGTTTGCTTTTATCCAATATATAGATCGTGGAACAGATCGTTCCTTTTATTTCTCCTCTTAAATCTTGTAACGCAACTATCATTCCCTTATCTCTCTCTCTCTCTTTCTCTCTCGTTTTAAATGCAGTAGAGCTCCATTAATGTAGATCTGTTGGGAGACAAACACGTTCAGATAACCACTTAATTCCTCCAGCTATGATTTTTCGATTCCAATTAATAGAAATTCACAGGTTGATGTAACAAGAGTTTCTGTAAAATTCATAATAATTTAAACAAATTTAAAAATTTTGTTTTGCAAGTAATTATTGAATAGTATTTAATGAATTAATTTTTTAATTTATTTCGTTCGTGTCGTTCGAAATGTTTACTTAGAGTTAAACGCTATGTAAAATTTCGCTGAAGTTAAAGTTTCACTATTCCCTTTTACTTACTTTATCATGGAGGAAATATTTATTAGAGACGCGTTTGTCGACAAATTGATATAAACTTTGATGACTTCAGCCATTAATTCTTAATTGATATAGAGAGACTCTGCAAGATGTATTTGTTATAACTAATATTTACAGAAATTTATATTTTTATTACCACAATTATAAAAATGGAATTTAACAAAGGATCGATTCATCTTTTATATATCATAACGAGTATATTACTTTGTATTTTATTTATTGCAAATTTTTTTGCATTTAAAATTTTCACAAAAGTATATAAATATATTTTTATCAAATGGATCTCGAAATTTCCACTATCTTATCTTTTATTTATTTTTTTTTTTTTTTT